ACCCCCCTGCAACAACAACAAAAACCCCAAAAACAAAACCTGCAGAAAATAATAAGTATTGGCAGCATGTGGGAAAATGGGAACCCTGTATACTTCTAGGAATGTAATGATATATCTGCCTTAGAAAACAATATGGTGGTTCCTCAAAAACTAAAAATATGATCCCTGAATTCCAGTACCAAAAGAAATGGGACTTGAAGAGATACGTGTACACCCATGTTCATAGTGGGATTATTCACAGTAGCCAAAATGTGGAAGCAACCCAAGTGTCCTTTGATGGATGAATGGGTAAGCAAACTGTGATATGCAGTTATATGGAATATTATTCAGCCTTTAAAGAGAAGGGCATTCTGACGCATGCTATAATATGGATAAAACTTGAAGACATTATGCTGAGTGAAATAAGCCAGTTACAAGAAGATAAATACTGTATGATTCCACATACATGAGGCCGTTGGCATAGTCAAATTCAGAGAGACAGAGGGTAGAATGGTGGCTGTTGCCAGGGGTCGGGGGGGCAGGGAGAATGAAGAGTTAGGGGGTGCAGAGTTTCAGCTTGGGAAGATGAGAACACTTCAAAGATGGATGATGGTGAGGGTTGCACAACAATGTGAATCTATTTAATGCTATAGAATGGTATACTTAAAAATGGTTAAAATGGTAAATTTTATGTTATATATACTTTAAATGGGGTGAGCAAAGTTAATTTTATTCACTAGTACTTCTTCATAATGATTTCTTCCAAGAAAAATGGTCAGAATGAGAGAATTATAATTCCCAGAGCAGGGGGTCCTCAATCTTCCCTCCTAGGAGGCCAGGTTGGGGTGATGCAGGGAGCCAGGGTGGGGCATGTGGCAGGGCAGGGAAGGAGGGGGTGGAGAACCAGGCAGCTGGGAGAGGTTCTGGGGGTGGGAGCAGAGGGAAGACAGGAGAGGGCATTGTAAGAAGCATTGCTGGGGGTTGAATTAGCTTTTTAATGTTCGTAGAGAGATGCAAGTAGGGGTTAGGCCCTCTGCAAGTTTGTTTTTCCGTTGCTTGGCTGTATTGCTTTGGCTTGTGTTCCAGGGCCAGACTGGACCAGGCAGGCACTGAGTCTTCATGACGTACCTGTGGATATTTTTGGACTGCGGGCCATCCTCATCTGCTTCTGGCATTAAAATCATTACGTTAGAGTCAAGCCGAGTTCATTTTCCCAGTGACTGCTCAACTGTTGGACCATGCTCTACAGAGCTGGGGTTGGTCACACTCAAGCCATGTGGGGCTCAGAAGTAACCACAGGGTCAGGATGTGTGCAGCCCTCTAGGTGCAGAACTGTAGTTTGGAAGAGAAGGTTGGTTTGTTGCTTGCATATTTAGGCAGTTCACCAGGCTTCTGTGAAACCCCCACTCTCCTATAGAAGGTGAAAGTTGGCTCTTGAGTTTTGAACCTCAGTTTCTAGATATGCAACTTAAGACATTAGGAATGCTTTGGGAAAGGGACAGGCTGTCATGTCAGGCCAGCCTGTTGGTCTGTTCTTCGCACAGAGACCAGATCTGGGCCTAGCTGTTTTTTTAGGGTTTGGGTTCAAACAGCCTTTGAAATCACTGGCATAGATGACATGGATCAGAAATTCCAGGTAAGTGCTGTTGTAGGGGAGGGGGTTTCATTGATGCATTGGAAACAGATAAGTCCGCGTTAGGAATTGGCTGAGTCATGGTTGGGAAAGCACTGAGTCATGGTTCAATGTGCTATATATATAAAGACTGACAGCTGATATCCACACTAATTTTTTTCCCTGTATGATTAAATTTCCCACCTTCCTGGCAGCAGGAATGAGAATACAAGTGATGTGCACTATTTCCAGGCCTGGCCTACAAACCTCTCTGAATGGTGCTCAAGGCTGACTGGCTGAGGTCACTTGGGAGCCAGCAGCTATGGGCCCTGAAACATTGGATGTATGTGAGTGAGAAGTAAAGCTTGTGGAGACCCTGAGGTTTGGAGTTTTGTTTACTATAGTACTTAACCTCCGATGATTAGAAATCCCAAAACCTGAGTGACTGTAAGGCTCTGCCCTTGAGGTCCCAGAGCAGTGAACACGTCCATCTCTGTGGGGACTGAGAGCAATGGTACCTTCCCCTTTCCAAGTTCAGGCTGGAGGAGCGGGTTTGGCAGCCACCTGCAGGGCAGAGTCCAGAATCTTGAGCCATTTTTAGTGAAGAATTAAGAAGCAGTCTTAGACTTGAAGGGGAAGAAAACTTAACTCATTTTTTTTCTGTCTTAGGTTCATTGGCTGGGCCCCTATAAATCTGATGACAAATGACAAATTAACAAGACAAAAACAAACAGAGGCTTTTTAGCACATGCATGGCACATACACATGGGAGTATTCATGATGAATAACTGATGGGGTTAGTTAAAACTTAGACTTATATAGCATCTTAAAATGGGACAATCAATTTTTAGAGAAGTGACTGGCCAAAGGGAAAGGACTGAGTTTTTAGGGTAGCAAATTGTAGGAACTAAAATATATGGGGGATCTAATGGCAGATAGGGCTATTTTAAGAAAGGTTTTTTATGTAGATTCCTCTGGTGCCGTCTTTGGGTCATTGACTTCTGTAGAGAGGGCTGCGGAAACACCTTCACAGATTTACGTCCTGCTGTTCAGCAGATGGTGGGAGGTCAGAGAGCTTATCTTGCATCTGCGGCTTCTCAGCTGCCTTCAGCTCAAAGTCATCCTTGTGCAAAGCAGTATACTTTTTTCTTCAGACTGCACTGTGATCTTGGGGGAAATTCCTTCCATCGTTGAAGGTATTTAGGGCTGAGGATGGTGAAGAGGCACAGAGATTGCTGCTCCTTGAGAACAGTACTAACCGGGGACGAGGGAGCCCTGTGTTGCCAGACCCAGCTCAGGTCTAGGTGAGGACCAGCACCTCCCTAGCCTTGACCAAGGGCCCCCAGCCAGTCCCGGGCCCAGATGGCTGCAGGAAGGAGTCCTGTTACACCTGGACCAGCCACCCCTGGCATTTTCCTGACCCGAGAGTGAGTGGAGCAGCGTCATTGGTAATCCAGGTATTGGCCTAGAATTTTGGGGTTGGACATGCTCTGCCTTTGCTGCAATTGAGGGGAAGAGAGACATACAGTGACAGCTTTAACTTGGAGGCCACCTCCTCCTCCATTGGCTAGCTGTGAGGGAGGGCGGGGCCTGAGGGTGGGGCACATTTCCCCAGGGGATTTATTGTCTCCACTCTGAGGCTGTGAGGTCCTGATGAGATTCATGTCTGATTTCTTTGTCAAATCAACTATGTAAGAGTGACTTGCCCTCGTCTGCGCTCCTCCCAGCCCCATGGGTCTTCCCTCTGCAGTGCCCAGACCTCACTCTGATCACACTAGGCAAGCTGAGGAGCCTGGTGGCTAGGTAGATATCCTCAAGTGGACAGGATGCCCGCCTCTGCAGGTCTAGAGCGCTGCCCTGGGGCTCCCTCCTTCAGGGCTGGGTGGGGCCCTCTCTCCACTCCCTCCCACAGAGGGGAGCTTCTCTCTGCTCTTCCTGCTCCTTTACAACCTCCTGTTTGTGGAGACTGTTGTCTTCATCACCTTGGGCCGCTGTAACAAAATATTCTCTTGAGAGTCTTAAACAACAGACATTTATTTTTCATCGTTCTAGAGGCTGGGAAGTTCCAGATTGAGGTGCCAGCCGATTTGGTGTCTTGTGAGATCCAGCTTCCTGGCTTGCACAAGACTCTGTGTCCTCACATGGTGGAGTTAGCGGGAGCAATTCCCCTTCTTATAAGGACACTAATCCCATCCTGGGGACTCCACCCCCATGACTCATCTAAATCTGATCACCTCCCCATAGGCCCCAGCTCCTGACGCCACCCCATCGGTGAAGGCCTCAACAAGTAGATTTTGGGGGGATACACACATGCAGAAAATAGCAGGCATCCACCCAGCTTAGCATCTCGCTGGGAGAGGTGCCCAGATCCAAGCCTTCTTTGAACTTAGCCTTGGAAAGTTGAAGAGCATTGCTTTCTGGGGAACCTTCTGCACTATCTACACAGCGGTCACTCGTCAACAGAATGGTACCAGTCCACTCCTTGGCTTGGCTTCTCAGGTGTTGATGGAATTGGCTTCCATGTGCTGAGAATGTCAATGTGAGATACTTCATGTTTTTAATTCATTTGATCCTCACAATCCTATGAGGAAGTGCTGCTATGAGCTTCATTTTACATGTGGGGAAACTGAGGTCCAGAGAGGTAAGTAACTTGCCCAAAAGCTACATAGCGTGTCAGTGGTAGAGCCAGGACTGGACCCCAACAGTTCATTTTCAGGCTTTTAACTGTAGCTTGCCTTTCAATAACCGTTTAAGGGACGTGTTGTTATTCTTTTTAGCAGATGGGGAAATGGGCTCCAGAAGGCTACATTTCTTGTCTTCAGTTATACCCAGAATGAGTGATGGCTGGCATCGAACTAGCTCACTGTAAAGTCTGGAGCTTTAACTCCTATCTCATCCTGCCAGATCTGTGCCCATTTGTTTTCATTTTTCTACAAGAAGAAATTGTCCATCATGTTTTTCCAATATGTTCTTCTTTTCCCTGACTTTATCACAGTACTGCTTTCACATTAGGCCTTTGTCCTTGTGGACACTGTGCTTTCCCAGCACGCGCATGGGCAAATATTCACTGAGTGCCTACTGTGTGCCTGCGCTACACCAGCATCGGGACACTTGATGTACAACACAAAGGTCCCTGCCTTTGTGGAGCTGACACTTGGAGAAAGGGATGATATGTACCGTCAGTAGGTAAACCCCAGAGTAGGAACGGAAGTCAGTGATAAAGAGGAAAATCACAGAGGGGGGATGGGAAGTTGATGGGGTGGGACTTAAATTGTAGCTGGGGTGGCCAGGACCCCACTGGAAGGGTGACGTTTGGAAGGCAGACTCTTTGCCTGCTATACCTTTGGCAGGTCAGGGCTTCTAGAAGTGTTGAGATTAACTGTGCCACTAATATGAAGATCAAAGAGCATACATAGAAAGGGTCCCCAGGGTGGGCAGCTGTCCCACAATGGGGACACGTGGGTGTGCCCTGGGCCCACTCCACCTTTGCTTTCCTTCTGCAGGGCCTGATGTTTATAGAAGGCCTCCCACCTGCCAGGCTCTGTGCTGGGACCTTGTGCCAAAGGTCCAGGTTCCAATTTACAGGTGAAGAAACCCAGACTATTTCTCACCCAAAGTTGTGCAGCAGGTGAATGTGAGCCAGCCTGACACCCCACTTGTGCTTGTGCCAGACGTGTACGCTGTTCTGAGGCAGGGTTGTGGGGTCCCGGGAAGCCCTGGGGAGCCTGGCTCCCAAGTTTGGATTTGAGTCCAGGGCAGAAAGGAGTGGAGGTTTCCTGTGCAGTCTCCGGTCGTCCCCTGCCTGGTTAAAATCCCAGCCTGGCTACTAACTGTGGACCCCTGGGCAATACTTGTCCTCTTAGTTTCCTAACCTGGAAAATGGGAATAAGAGTAATTCCTGCTCGTGTGGTGGTTGTGGGAAGGAAGTGTGATACTGGAGATGGAGGGACTAGAACTCAGATCAAATGCTCCAGTGCTGGCTGGGTGTCCTTGTTTCAGTGCCCCCTGCTGACCACGTGTGTGAAGAGGACCCTGCAGGTCCTCGGTGGTGCTGTTTGGGGAAAGACACGCTCGATGCTAATGGGTCTCAAAGGGTGATCCCGGGCCACAGCAGCACATTGCCAGGGGCCGAGCTAGGGAAGCACATTCTCGGGCCCGTCTAAGCCCTCCTGCATCAGAAGTGCTGTGCAGTCTGTGTTTTCACAAGTTCTTGGGGAGTTCTGGAGCACGCTCAGGTTTGAGAACCACACTAGTCTAAGCCTGGGTGGTATCAGAGAACTGCAAGGACTTAATTCTTCTGGCTACATGCATGCGTGCATGTGTGCACATATGTGTGGAGTGTGGGAGGCGGCATGGGGACCTTTGCAAGCTCAGAGAAGTAACTGGGGGTGCAGCACTGTGGGCACCCCTCCTCACCATCAGCGCCACCACCTTCCTGCCCAGAGCAGGTCCTAGGTGCGGCTCTTCTGGCAAGTGGGATCCAGGCCACACCACTGCCAGCAGGCTGGCCTGTGCTCCTGTCTCACTGTGGGGCTGTTGAACCTTCTCAAATTGCTGAAAGGTGCTGCTTGTACAGCACCGGGCCCCTTTCCCTTTCCCAACAGCACTTCAGGTTTTTTTCCCAAGAAAATGATTAGTGGGGTTTTGTTTTGTGTGTGTGAAAAAGGCAGTTCAACTTTATGCTTCCTCTCTCAAATCCCCCCTTCTTTGTCTTTTTCAGTTTCATAATATTCCAGATATTGTCTATTGTCTCCTGTACCCCATGGTTACAGAATCAAAAGGACCAAACAGCTGTGCCCGGGCTGGAGGGGCTGCCTCGGGAGCAGTGGACTGGCATGCTCCGCTCCCGCTTGCTGAGCTGCCCATTAAATGGAAGGGTCCCTGGAGAGGCGGGGTGAGGGGACCGGCCTTTGGGGCTGGTGGCCGCATTTCTGTTGTCACAGAGCTCCAACTGCCAAAGTAAACATAAGTTTTGAAATTAAGTGGGAACCCCAAGAGGTTTTCATTTTGGAAAAGAAATCAGCAAGACAGTGACTGTTTGGGGCCATGAAGTCCTTTTCTTCCATGCCCAGATCTGCATAGTCTGTGTGGTGAAAGTTGGAAGAAGCTGGAAACGCAGGGATTGTGCCTAATGCCAAGGGGCAGGTCACGGAGCAGAAGAAGGGGCTCTAGAGGCAGGCTGGCTCTGCCCCTAACCAGCGTGTGACCTCAGCCTTATTACCTTGACCTTCCAGCCATGACGGGGCTGCTGCACGCCTGGCGGTATTAAAGGTAAAGCATTTGGTGCAGTGCCAGCCTGCCTCGTGGAAAAATGGTGGCTGTGATTTTTATGAGCTATTTCTAGAAGACGACTGGCCATTGTAAGGTCTCTGTGTCAGAAGGCGCCTGATACTTCTAATCCACCAGTAATTCCTGCCCATGCTGCCTTCAAAATATACTCTTAATCAGACCTCTTTTAAGCACACCTGCTGTTTCCCCTGTGGTCCAGGTCTCCATCACCCTCATTGCTGGGTCTCCTGGGGCTCCACAGTGGCCTCCTGGGCAGCTCATTCATACATGTTAACCAGAGGGTTACTTTTAAATTACAGATCATGTTCATTCCTTGCTCAAAATCATCCAGTGTTATGGATAAAATCCACAGATCTGCAGGCCTCCAGCACTGGAGGCCCTTGGCCTTCTCGCTGCCCTCACTGCCCAGGGCTTGTGCTCTCGCTCACCCTGCCAGCCACACTGGCCTCTGCCTTGTTCCTCCCTTGCCAAGCTTGCCTCCATCTAAGGGCCTTGCACTTGCTGTCACCAGACCTACCATGCTCTCCCCCTGACGTCTCCATGGCTCCCTCTGTCCCTTCCTTCAGGTCTTTGTCCAAATAGCATCTCCTCTGAGAGGCAGAAGTGGCCTCTCCACTGCCTCCCCAGGTATCACTCCCCAGCACTGCATGTTTATCTGGTGACTGACGGCCTCTGTAGCAAGAATGCAAACCCGAAGAAGGCACTTCTGTGTCTCCATGTCCGCCTGTTGTATTCCCTGCACCAGCATGTTTAATGCATGCATGAATGAAAACCAGTTTGTTGAACCAGTAGATTTGTAGTGGTGCTTGGAGAGATTAAGGGCTTGGCAGTTTTCAATTCCATTTATGACTCCCATTTGCCATCTTAAAAAAGGATGACCAATATAATTTCCCAGTGTGTTAATCATCTGTATTTTTTAATACCATATCCTCTGTGCAATGGGTATAGGAGCTTCAGATTGAAGCAATTATTAATTGCATATTTAGCTACTCCACTTATAAGAAATGAAATCAGGCAGCGGGCCTTGGAGATTAAGAATGGCATTCCTCCTGCGGGGGGGTGGGACCTGAGGTGGCCTTTCTACATGTGAGACGCAGGACAATTGAATGAATAGGTGCTGCTGCAAGCATAGATCTTAAAATGCAAGTGAAATGGTGTTTTCCATACCAGGGTTGCAAGGGAGAAATGAGATGGATGCAGTAAACAGGCACTGCTGGGGAGTGATACCTGGGGAGGCAGTGGAGAGGCCACTTCTGCCCCACTGGGGGGATGGTATTTGGACAATGACCTGAAGGAAGGGACAGAGGGAGCCATGGAGATGTCAGGGGGAGAGCATGCCAGACCCAGTGACAGCAAGTGCAAGGTGGAAGCCAGTGTGGCTGGCAAGGTGAGTGAGAACATGAGCACTGGGTGGCGAGGGCAGTGAGAGGGGCAGGGTGTGCAGTCTGCAGGCAGGGGATGCCCAATCCCTCTGTGGCACAGCTGGTCCAGAAGCAGGCTGGGGGTGGGGAGGGGCGGGGGGCAGGTGACTTTTCAGGTGGGCAGCAAGAGGAACACCCAGTTCTGGTGATGGAGTCTGACACCTTCTGCCATGGCCCACCTCCACCGCTGCACAGGGTTTCCTAGTATGAGTAGGGCAGGGAACAGCAGATGGAGCGTCTGTGTCCCACCAACGTGTTTTTGATTAAGAAGAAAACAGGCTTACTGGGAATGCATACAACTTCTCTGCATGAGTTGATGTTGGTCTAGGAATTCCAGACTGTTGGTCCGTATCTGGCACTCTTTTCACGCCCTCTCAAATCCAGCCCCAGGCTCCCAAAGCTCATGGATGTGTCCACACCAGGACTTGAACATCACCTCTGCCCCTGGGGAGATGATGTGGGTTGGGGGATGGGGAGGCAGCTGCAAAGAGGAAGCTAAGTCTCCTACCCTGACTCTGCAGTCAGGGGTCCCACCTGGAGGGACTGGCTTTCTGTGCTAGTCTGGGCCTATGCTGGCTCTGTTAAAGAAAATTTACTGTCTGAGATTTGTAGTGAAATCTGGGACTGCCTCTGGCCGGGTATCCCCAGCCCAACCCAGTTTTTCTGCCTGTCTTATTCGAGAGTTAATTTCTTCATTACTTCAGCTGAGGGAAAACAAGTCTTGAATATTAAGACAATCTGTGTGAAGCTAAGGCCTCCTTGGTTCATTTGTGTTAATCTATTAAGCTCCAGAGTAAAGATAATTTATAAGTAAAATGAAGGTTCAGGACTTAGGCAGACTAAGAAAGGAAAACAATGCCAAAGATTTATTCCTGGTCTGTGCTCAGCCCAAATTTAGGCTCAAAAGAAGAAAAACGATGTGGAATTACTATACATCATTTAGCTCTCCAGGGAATCACTATAAAATTACATAATATAATCATGGATGAATCTAAGGCCAGAAAATGTACGCTCAAAGCTCAGAAGAAAGCCGCAGACACAGAAGACCCTTTTGGACAAGATTTCGTGAGTTCAGGAAAAGCCAGCAGCCGATCAGCAAAGCAAATGATTCCAAACACCTCCTGCCCTGCGAAAGCCTTGGGCAGGCTGGGAAATTACTCACTGTGAAAAGTCAGTTCTGGAGAAAGCCTTCTAATCTGAACTAAGAAATCAGCTGGTGAAACACTTAGAAAATTATGGTTTGATTACAGACGGTCCTTGGAGAAGGGAGCAAGGTCTCTGTCAGTAACTAGCTAGGTCCTCTTCTCCCACCTTGGCCAGGCCAGTGCATGAGGGCTGCCAGTCCTTCCTGTAAGCAGGCTTACCGTCTGCGCAGTTCCAGTGGCCGGTTTACGAAGGAAGTCGTTTAGGCACACTGGGAAATGTCTTTAATGAAATGAGAATCAGCCAGAGAGTTAGATGTAGGGGTCATTGCCAAGAGGCATTACACTGAAGCCTCTATTAAACTTTCCATTGGATTATCTGATGATACATAGTTGTGCCTTTGGGATTTTATTGTCTTTGATAAATGGCATGAGTTCAGAATATAAAGCAACATAGGCTATAACATGACACAATGCTCGAAATAATGAAAGCCGTTAAATTACCCCAGTGGAAGTATTTATCTTAAAGACTGCTTTGGATTAGTCGGCCCCCTACCCTACCCCCTTACCCCCAGTGCCCCCCGAATGTGCAGGCTCTCCATCTGCACTCAGATGGGCAAGGTTTCTAACTCCGCGATTCCTTTTGTTGCCAGCGGAGTTCTCGGCTCTGGGAGGAAAGGGGAGCTGCCTTCCAAACTCACCTTGCCGGGATGTATCCCTTCTCCCCTCAGACCGTTCTTGTCTCCTAGCTGCTGGGAGTCGGGGTGATGGTCGCCTGTTTGGATCACCAGAGAGAAAATGCCTGTGTCTGGAGGTGTTCAATATAAACAATGGGCTTTGATTCTCCTGCTAAGATGTATTTCCACGTGTCTATTTTAAAATCTATTTATGTAATTATCTTTCTTCCAATTGTTATTGTTACCCATGAGATACCCTCATTTAAATAATAAACCCTTCTATTAAAAATCCAATACTTCCTAAACTTTTGCTGAATGGCCAAACCCAACAAGTTAGAAATCAGTCTCTCCTGAGCTAACCCAGTGCCCAGGCCTGAGATCGACATTAAGAAGACGCCTCTGAAGCTTTGCAGCCAGCATGCTGTTGCTATTTTCAAACCATTTCAATCCAAACCAGTTTCTTCCACCTCTCCATCTCCTCTCAAGCCATTGCTGGTCTCACATCCCTCCAGCTGGTGGGTTTAACATTCACTTACATGCATTCCTTCTCTTCCAACTCTGTATCAATATCTGGAGAGTCACACACTAGGAGCTGCTACTGTTTAGCTCACCGTCAGCCCTGGATACTCATCTGATGGGCTCTGCAGAACATAGGCATCACTGTGAGGGCATCAGAGGGCAGTAGCCAGCGAGGGTGGGCAGCCTTGTCCCACATTGTGTGTCATGGCCAATAGGTTTCTGCTCCTCTTCAAATGGTACTGAGGACTTTTCTCAGTGAATGCTCTCTTGTTCTCCTTAAATGCCTAACTTTGGTTATGCTCATGCAGGCTTGACCAGGGAGCTTCTTTGAACATCAGCCTGAGTGTAAATCCTGGGGCAAAATACTTCTAAAACCAACATCAGTCAAAGGGAGAAATAAAGTTTAAAATCCATTTATTGCTTCCAAACCACAGTCTGGGGCTGTCTTTCTTGCTCTAGCAGAAGCAAAACCGGCCCTCCCCCTCACCTTTCAGGTTCAGATAAGCCCTGGTTGCCCAGGTAATTACCGATCGATATGGAGATGAACATTTCTCCACCCCTGAGGAATGCCTGTTGATATGCAGATGCACTAAGGCCTGGCAAGATATTCTGGAAATATTACAGTTTTACCCACACTGGGCTCTGGATGGTTGGAGGTGTGGAGCAGAGTGAGCTGAAGCCCTTGAGGCTGAATGATGGACCTGCCAGCCTGTCTGCCTTGTTCTGGTCAGGGGGCCGACACAGACATGTCTCCCCAAGCTGGACATCTCATACTGGCCCGGCAGCCGCTGTGAGCCTTCTGTCTTAGTCCTGCATGCACCTCCTCATGGCAGCTCCTTATGCTACCACTGCAAAACAATTTTCCTTGTGTTTCCTGAATGCTCTTCAATAGAAGCTATGTGCATTTTCACAGGGGGAGGGAGCTTTGAGCTTGGGTCTCCGGGTCTCTTGGAGGTTAGCAGTTTCAGCAGCATGTGTGACCTTTGGGTGGCTATCTCTGGGACATCATGTGGTTCTGTGCTGTCAACACAGAGTGGGCTGTGTGGACCAAGGCCCGGAGCCTGGGGCCTGTTCAGTTTTGTGGGGCTCCTTGCTGTGGTTCTCAACCCAGGGAGTACCCTTGCATATGCAAAGCTGGTATCCTGTAAACAGGCCAGGCCGTGCACTTCCTAGAGAAAAAGCCACCGTGGGAGTGTGAGTGTGCTGTGAACTGAGAGGATGGCGGAGGTTCCGCGGGGAGGGCTCGGGAGGGAGAGCAGCCTCAGGATGCACATGTCAGGGCAGCGGAGGAGGGTGGAACATAAACCAGTGAGCCTGGGAGGCTGGGCCCACATTTACCTCTTGGGTCACCACTGGGAATGGGTGGGGAGAGGTATTTGGGAGGAAACATGTTTTGAGAGCCTGGAATAATCTGTCACATCCTATTCTCAAGCTGTTGGGCTGCACAAGACTTAAAACTAGGTTGGCTCCTTATCACCTCTGGAATAAACGTTGACCTGCCAAGTTGGAGTCTCGAGGGCTCACGTACAATAGCCACCTTCCCCGCCCAGGCCTGGACCCAGTGTCTGTCACAGCTTCTGCTGATGAAGGAGCCCTGAATGTCCCTGAATGTTTCACCCAAGAATTACCCCCTCACTCCCTGAGATGCCTCCCAGGAGTTACTTTCCTTCTCCTCCTGCAGCCCTCACAGGCAGGGCTGGAGGGTGAGGCCTCCCTCGGAGGGGCAGGCCATGTTGTGGGTGATGAGCTCACCTCAGGGGCCCCATCTTCCTGCAGGCAGGCGGGAAGGGGAGGCCGAGGGGCTAGGGAGCAGCCTGCTCCTCCCTCTGATCCCCAGGCGGACACACCTTGCTACTGAGTAGAGCCTCACTGCAGCTGAGGTCCACCCTGTGCAAACATGAGAGAGAGAGAGAGTAAGGGCTCTACAGGGACACAGCGAGCATGGCCAGGGTGCCTCACCTTTGCCTGCCTTATCTGTTAAGTGGTTTCTTGTCTCTCACAACCAGACCTCCACTTCAGTCCAGCCAGCGTCCTGGGCCTCACCTGTGTAAGTACCCTATCCACAGTCACCCTTGAGCCTTCCTCTTGGGCCAGTCTGTCTCATGAGGACCAGTTTGTTTATTCACTGATTAATGAATCATGCGTTCGGCAGTGCTCATTCGCACCTGCTACACCTCAGGCTTTGAGTGCAATGCCCTGGTTACTGTGGTGTGCAAGCCAGATAAGGCTTCTTCCTTCAGAACAATCACATTCTCATCGGGGAGCCTGCTTGTGTAAATAGGTGTGGGCTATAAATTGCTAAGGTCGGTGAGGACAAAGTGCTAGTCAGAGTGCTAGGGAGCATGCTAATGGGCTTTTTGAGAAAGTCACATGAGGGCTAACACCTGAAGTGTGAGAAGGGGTCAGCCGTGTTAAGGTCTTAGGAAATAATATTCTGGGAGAGATGGCCCCTTCTGAAGGTTCTGCGGCAAGGAAAAGCTTGCTGCATTTGAGGGACAGAAAGGAGCCAGGTGGTGAGAAATAAGTCTGAGAAGGAGACAGAGCCACACCCCCTGAGGCCTTGTCCTGCTCTGTGGGGAACTGTGCATTTTGCCCTGTACAGTGGTTCATTGCTGAAAAGCCTCAGGCAGAATGACATGAGCTGATTTACTTTTAAGGGGAGTGGGGTGCAGGAGTGGAAGGAATTGTTCTAAGATGATGGCTCATGTGGAAGGTCCTGCCAGCTCTGCCTAATAGCCATGCCCCTTTTCATATGTCGCTTGCCTGTGTGCCTACCCTCAGAGAGTGAATCCAGTTGTGACAGTCCATTTGTTTGGCCAGAAAATCACTTGTCCAGCCTGCCTTGCAGCAATGGTCATATAACCACATGTGGCCAGGGAAACCTAAGGGAGGGCCTGCTGGGAGCTTCAGAGAAAGGTTTACTGTGTGACGATTTTGTTGGGAGCTGCGTCAGCCGTCTTGAGACCATGAGGGAAAGGCCGTCCGTCCCAGGCCAGCCCATCCAGAGCTGTGTCATCACTGGGCCACCTAATCTGTATGCAGCCACCCACCTCTAGACCTCTTGTTTTGTGCAGTGGTTTTTACCTCTGTGATTACACTGCAGTTAGCCAGCTTTCTATTACTTGCAGCCAAATACGAGTTTAAATGTCAGGAGAGATGAGGAAAAGAGGGTGGGTCTGAGGTACCCACATTGAGATGACGGAGTAATGAACTGGAGGTGAGTGGGGAGGATGGAGAGGGCTAGTCAGCGCTTCTGGCCTGAGCAGAAGGGTAGACGGCGGGCCGGAGGCTGAAGAATATCTGTTGTGCTTACCAGCCAGCACCTAACACAGCTCCCAGTGTAGCAGAGAGTCATTTTCTGGGGTGAGCTGAAATCTAAGGCTGAGGCTTGGTTTTAGACCATGAGAAATCCAGGTGGAAGTGTCCAGGAGGCCTGATGCCTGGATCTGAATTTGCACAGACACGTCTGCCTGAATCAACAGTCCGGGCTCCTCAGCGCTCAGTCAGGACCAGAGCCTGGGGAAGGGGTGAGGTGCCTTGGGAGAGCCAGGGGGCTGGAGATGGCCCAGCACACACAGCCGCCCCTTTTCTGATCAGTCCTCCTGGTCTCTTCACTTTGGGGTCCTTTAAAATGGTAGACATCGCCTATTTGTCTCTTACTTGCATTAACTTACATCTATTTTGTTTGCCATTGTCATTGTTATAGGTCAGAACTGTTGACTGTCAGCAATTTCAGGGATTGAACCTAGTATTTCTTGCTTCCCAACTCTGGACCAGGTACTGTGCTAGGTCAAACCACCAGTATTGTGGCTTGTTTTCTGTTTAAATTTACGCATTCATTCCTTGATTCCCTCCATACCCACAGGGTGAAACCCCAACTTAGATGATCCTCCGAGGCCTTTTATCATCCACTCTTGCCCACATCTGCAGACTCATCTTTTGCTGAAAGCCTCCCATGCTTTACTCTCCAGCCAGATGATGCCCCACATTTGTAGACGTAGCAGTGGGTTACAGGCTTCCATCAGAGCCCCATTTCCATCGGGCATCCTTCCATGCATCTCTTCCTACCACAAGTTCAGTCGCACTGAAAGTTTTCTCTTCACTGGATGGTCTGGGTGTAGGTGGTACCAGTTTGTGCTTCCAATGGTATGACGGTCCCTCAGTGACACCTGTTTCCATGTTACGAGTACCTGGGGCTCAGGTCTGAAAGGCCCTGCCCCCTGTACCCCTGGCTGATTCCTGCTCCAGTGAACCTGTCCTCCTGTATCTTTGAATGTCCCCCACGGGGTTGAAGCTGTATTTGCTCTGGGAGCTGCGGCAGCTGTCTTGGGACCATGAGGTGCAGCAGCCACTGGATTTGTTTTTGACCCATCTGCGAAGCTTCTCCAGGCCCTCTCTGTTTCCCATCCTGGGTCCTAGTGAACGCCATGCCCTGGCACCCGACTGTTCTAATGAAACCATATGTACTTTCTGCCTTGATAGAGAAATAATTCTTGATATGCCTCTCCAACCTTTAAAAGAAAGAATTTTTTTTTTAGATCCCCATGTAAAATCTTTGCTGCCACTCAGGAGGCCTTTGCTAAGATGG